GCTTTGTGAGCCACACAATCGTAGCCCGCCGAGAGAGGCGAGATCTTGAGTAGAGCTGAAATGTCCAGGCTGCCGAAGCGACGCCCCATGCCACGCCGGATCCGCATCGGCCAGCTTCGCTGAAGCAGGTTCAAAGACCAATCGCCGATGAACAACCTCCAATCCTCCATCCCTGTCGTAGCCACCTCCTGCGTCCACAGCAAAAGAAGCGCCAGAAGCATCTTCCCATGGAGCCGAAGAAACGGACAAGCCCCAACCACCGCTCCACATGGCCAAAGCCGCGAACGCCATGGGTTAGAATCCTCGACCCCGCTCGCCTTCTCGCCGCAGCAAGGAGCCTCGCAGTGACCGACGACGGTGACGACCAACTCGCGGGATCGTAAACACTCAGATCCGCGAGACCAAAAGGACCCCAGCTCCTCGCTAGTGCCAAGAGCGACGACAGGCGAGCGAAGAAGGTGACCGGGCCACTTTATTCCACACACCGACTTCCCCTCCGCCATGACGCCGGTGCAAAGGACACCAAACCTAGAAAATCTAGGTATATACACCGTCAGGCATCAGATCCGAGATCTCCCACCCCTCCAGTAGCCATAATGGCCACCTGAGGTGAAGGAGACCACCGGTCTTACCCTGCCCTCTTCTATAGGCAGTTTCGAGAGAGGACGGGAAGAGACTAGTTGGAAAGTGTTGGAAGGGAGAAGTGAGAGGGGAATTCACTGTACTTTTTTAGGGTAAAGAAATTAGGGCATTTCACTCTACTTTGCTTTTTTAACCTATCACTCTACTCTACTTTGCTGGATAAAGGAACGAAACATGGTGTTAGGGTATCTCCAACGCCGATCGTCAATGTGGTACGAACGCGGGCTTGTATCGGTCTGCAGTGTGGTACGAACGCGTTTTTCTCCCGCAAACTTGAGACAAACGTGGGAGCGATTTGCGGGAGTCTGGACCGCTCCCAAACCTGTTTCTAACAGTCCTGGCGTGTCAAAAACTCCTCCCCCTCCCACGCGCGCTTCCCTTTCGGTGCCAATTGCCCACATTCATGTCGCTGTAGAGCGCGCTGCTCCACATTGAAGGCGGCTCAGGGCGGACGCGGCCTCTCACTGCCTCCGCCATTGAAGCAGCGCGCCGGCCGAGGGTGCCGCCCGCTGCACACCCGGCTGAACACGCCTCCTTGCCGCATTCAAACACATCCATTAAACCCGCGTGGAAGTCGAGAAACCTACTCTAGCCACACGTCCGTTCACGAGCGGGCCTATATTAAACACAACGCAGGGCATGCTCCTCCCGTCCGCCCTCTATATAAACCAGGCCAGACTCTGAATCACGCCACTCCACCACTCCCCATCTCCTCCTTCCACCATTTTCTCCAATCTTTCAATGGCATCCAACGAGCCAGAAGAGCAGTTCTCCGGCATAAAAGTCTACCGAGTGACCCGCCGAGCTCGGCGGGTACGAGCGAGGCACCTCGTTGCTCCATCCCGCTCGTCTAGCCCGTTTGAGCAAGTTGCCGCCCCAAGCCGATGAGCGATTCAGCAACTCGCTGCTCCAAGCCAGCTCGCGAAGGAGTGGTGAGTTGCTCCAGGCTGGCACAGGCATCACCGCCTCCAGTGCATGCGACCGCGCCATCTGTCGTCAATGCACGCGTAGCCGTGCCGTGTAGGCAGAGAAAGAAGCCGGCTACACGAATGTCGACAAGGTGGCGGCAGCACGTCCGTGCCCACCGCCGTCATCGAGGAGAAATAGAACACGGGAGGCCGTCGCTTCTTGGGTCCCAGGAAGGCCGTCGCCGGTGACTTGGCCGGTTGTTCGTTATCTCAGACCATCCTAGGCACCCGCCTGAGATCCACAGAAGCACCCTCTTTGCTGCTCCAATGAGCAGCGCAGTTGGACATAGGGAAGATATGGGGGAAGAATATGCCTCTAGGGCTCCCGGCAGTCCGGTTAGCGGGCTGTCAAACATGGGGAAGACAAGCTGCGGGCGACCATAAACTAGTGCAGTGTATTTATGTCGCGGGAATGAAGCTCCACATGACCGTACGTGCACATAGTTTTAGTTTTTTATTAGTTGAAAATATGTTCAAAATGTAACCGTTTTCGTCCGGTTTATATGAAATCCGTCATGTTTATATGAAATCTAACCTTGTTTGCATGAATTCCATTCCTTTGTTGAAAAAGAGTTTGAAATGTATGCGGTCATGGTTGGATGGCGTGTCCGCGGACTGATCCCCGTGTTCGTGGACGGAGGCGGGAGAAAATTTGTGGGTTGGTTAGACCTGCCTTATATAGCTGGCCAAATGGGCCGGTTTTTTCGGGCCGGCCCGTGAGCACGCCGGCACGGCCCGACTTGGGCCAGGCACGACACGGGCTAAACGGGTCGGGCCCGGCACACGGCACGCCCTGGGCCGTGCCTGGGCCTGGAGGCTAGGCTCGCGGGCCGGCACGGCACGGCCCGATTAAGTTTTCTTTATTTTTTTATACATCTATATATGGCCCAACATATAAAAATAGGCTAAAAACGCTCAGTGCGGCAAATAATAGACTGAAAATATGCGGCCCACCGTGCTAAACGGGCCAACGTGCCAGCCCATTTACTAATTGGGTTGTGCCCGGGCCTGAGGGCGCAGCACGCGGGCCCACACGGCCCGTATAGTAATCGTGCCCTGGCGGGCCATGCCGGGCCAGGCACGATTACAATGGGCCGGGCCGGGCCGGGCCGTTTGGCCAGGTATGCTGCCTTAGTTTGCCCCCAAAAAAACGGTGGTTCGTTTTGGACTTTTGGGCTTGGGCTTAGCCCCTCTGGTACACCACAGTGTACCCGCCGCCGCCGCCCACCATGCTGCGCTCGCCCACGGCCGCCGCCAACGCCATGGCTGCAACCCGCCGCCTCCTATGCACGGCAATCACCGATGCGTTCCCCTCCCCAGCCCACCTCCTCGCTCTGCCTCCCGTCACTCCGTCGCCCACCGCCGACGAGCTCGCGCGCCTGCTCCTCGCGCACCACAACCCCTTCCACCCGTCCGAGTCGCCGCTCCAGCTCCTCTCCGGCGGGGGCGTCTCCCTCTCCCAGGATCTCCTCGTGCAGATCCTCCTCCGCCTCCGCGGCGCGTCCAAGCTCGCGCTCTCACTCCTCAACGCCGTCCGCCTCCACCCGTCCGTCTCCTCCCCGCCCAACGCCGACGCCTACGACGCCGTCGTCGACGCCCTCGGCCGGGCGCACCAGTTCGACGCCGCGTGGCGGCTCGTTGTCGAGGCCGCGGCGGACGGCGCCGCCACGCCCCGCACGTTCGCGGTGCTCGCCAGGAGGTACGTCGCCGCGGGATTGACCAGGCAGGCGGTGCGCGCGTTCGACGACATGGAGGCTTTCCTAGGGAGAGAACCCGATGCCCAGGAGTTCACCACTCTTCTCGACACGCTCTGCAAGTACAAGTACCCCAAGGTTCGTGATCTGGATGCCTAGGTGGTAATCCTCTTAGTTTGATTGATTGCAGATAGTGTAAGGTCTCTTAACACTGCATTTCTGATTTCTGTACTATGCCTGTTGTAGTTTGTAGCCTCCTGCTCTATATTTAAATGTCTGTTATGGCGAGTGGCGATTTTCATTGTTTTGTTGCAAGTTACAATTGTGAGCTTACGATGAGAATATGAATGCATTCAAGTGAAGATTGTGTTGGCTTTCTATGTCTATAAATATATGAATGTGCTGCCCCTTAAGCTTTTTGTGGTGCACCATGAAACTCTTGGCCTCTCATTGTGATTTGCTTTTTGTGGTCTGCAGTTTGGTAGGTTCAGAGTGAACATTGCCTGTAGTTTGATGAGACGTTTCATAGTAATGAATTGGTGCAGTTGCAATTAGGCTGATTCAATCTGCAAATTTTCCTCTTTTTTTTGTTCTGATATTGTGTATGAAATTGGTCGGTCATGGATTTGCTTCTTATTCTGTGCAGTTTGTGGTGTGCAATTTGTAAGCACTAGATGACATCTACAAGTTTGTTCAGCTTGTTCAGTTTGTAAGTACTAGACGGCATCCACAATAATGATTCTGTCCAGTTTGTTCGGCTTCTTGCGAGTCAAATTAACCGTGATGATAAAGATCTACAAGAAAATGAAACCTGAATTTTAGTATCCCTGTGGACAATCCTTCAAAGAGAAACCACAATATCACAGTTCATTTTCTGGAATGGAAAAAATAATGGCAAAGTTACTAATTCAAAGAAATTAGTATATAGAGGCAAGCTTGTTGATCAGGATCTCAGCAGAAGCATTATCATTTCAGGTTGATGAAATACCTGGCATGACAATTAGATCATGCCTGCAAGATGGCAGAAAGGATTAAGTGCTTAAATTGCTTCCTTGGTTGATCATGCATTTCTAGTTTTTTTATGAGCATTAACAAAGTAAGATTCTACTCCAGATATTTGATCTTGGGCATTTCCGCGTGTACAAAGATAAGACTATGCTAACCAATGGTTTTGGTGTTTCCATCTAGATATGTTTTTAATGCTTGGATTCTGGGATTTAGATGAATGGAGTTGTTCTTTTTGGCTTTAGTCTCATCTTGATGTTTTCCTGTGAATGTTGAACTGATTTTTGTTTGTTTGTTTGGGAATATGGTGCCAATGGAGTGGTTTGCCCTCATGTCCTCATAAATGTTTTGTATCTGTAGCTTCAGTAGCGAGTAGAGAAGCATTTTGGATTTCTTGGACATGTAACTTATGTGATGCCAAAATAGATCAACTTTACTAAGTGCCTGCATCCTAATGCGTATGGTTTGGCTGGAAGTTTTTACTTCAGTTTGATAGTCAAATAAGGTATGTGTAGAAAGTTGTAGAGATATTTTTAGACGAAATAGAAACAGTTGACTTAAAAGTATCTCTATTTCATCTAAAATAGATATACTATTTGCCTAACAAGTGTTTGAATTACATTAATCAGCTGTCACACAGTTGTAGTCTACTTTATGTACATTGTTTGGAGGGTCTGGTAATAATTCTCTAATGTGCCCACTGGCATTTTTATCACCATTGCAGGTTGCTGTGGAGATATTCAATAAAAGAAAATACAAATATGAACCAAATGAAAAGATGTACACTATCTTAATTTATGGCTGGTGCAAGGTAAACCGAAGTGACATGTCCCAGAAATTCCTAAAAGATATGATTGATCGTGGGATAGAGCCGAACATAGTTACATACAACATTCTCTTAAATGGTATCTGTAGGCATGCAAGTTTGCACCCTGATAACCGGTTTGATAGAACAGTTAACGCAGCTGAGAATCTCTTGAAGGAGATGAGTGACAGGGGAATTGAACCAGATGTAACGAGCTACTCAATCATCCTGCATGTTTACAGTCGTGCACATAAGGCTGAACTATGTTTGTGTATGTTCCGCTCGATGAAGGATAGAGGCATTTGCCCCACAGTGGCAACCTACACTTCTGTGATCAAGTGCCTTGCTTCGTGTGGGAGACTGGAAGATGCTGAGAAGTTGCTCGGTGAGATGGTTAGTGAGGGGGTGTGTCCCTCCCCAGCGACCTATAATTGCTTCTTCAAAGAGTACCGAGGGAGAAAAGATGTTAGTGGCGCCCTTGAATTGTACAACAAGATGAAGGCTCCTTGTTCACCAACTGCACCAGATATTCATAGCTACAATATATTGCTTGGAATGTTCATCAAGTTGGACCAACATGAAACTGTTATGGAACTTTGGAATGATATGTGTGAGAGCACCGTGGGTCCTGATCTTGATTCATACACCTTGCTGATTCATGGTTTTTGTGTCAAGGAAAAATGGAAGGAGGCATGCCAGTTCTTCATGGAAATGATAGAGAAAGGTTTTCTTCCCCAGAAGATCACCTTTGAAACACTGTATCGCGGTCTTATACAAGCGGACATGTTAAGGACCTGGAGAAGGCTGAAAAAAAGGGTTGATGAAGAATCAGCAAAATTTGGCGATGAATACAAATCATATCACATCAAGCCTTACAAGAGGTGATATGTTGCCATCGAAAAGATGATCTGTATATTCTTTTAATTTCTTGCAATCCTGCCGTTGTATACCAGCTTGATCGGGGCACAGTTGTTAGATGTATCATGGCACTATCATTCCGAGGTGATCTTTATGACAAACATAAGCTAAGGAGCACTTCAGGCGGAAAAAAGGAAGGGCGAGCAGACATGTGCCATTGGTACACTGATTTCATCGGACTGAAATTGCAGTTACTCATGCATCTGCTGTCTATATAGTAATCTGGTATAATGATTCTTTGGTGTGATTGGGTGAAGTTGAAGGTGAAGTACTGTATTACTGATTTCAGATCTTCATCTTTAATTTCATGTGAGCTACATCTAACTGAACCATTTCACCTGTTCATGTACTGCAGAAAGGTGTTCCTTCAGAGACATCAGATTATTGGCGGAGTGGGAAAATTCTACTGCCAAATTTCTTGCGACGAAGGCAGCTGTTTGATGGTGCTGGCTTCAATGCAAACTTTCAGGACATGCAGATGTCCCAAATTTTTTGTAGGTTGTGGTTAGCCTTTATCCATAGAGTTGTTTTCGTTTTAGTCAACAATCATGTACTAGTATGCTGTGGGTATCTGATATAGCAAGAAGTTATTCACCTGTGAAAATTGTAGCCCTCCCTTATTTTTTCTAATGTTGTACTTATAGTCTTATACTCCCTCTTTTCAAATGGTACCTTTGACCAACAATTACACTATTAATATATAAATTTTGTCATATTCATAAAGTACTTTGGAATATGAGTCTAATGACATGGATTTTATGTCACATAAAGTACTTTGGAATACGAGTCTAATGACATGGATTTTCTGTCACATGAAGTACATGGAATATGAATCTAAGACATCAGTTTGGTGTCACATAAACTCATAAAGTAATTGTTGGTCAAAAGCCTGTCCTAACAGGACCAGCATTTTGTCATCTTTGCCACCGTGTACTTTCTTCCTAGGCTTTGGGCTGCATATATTATGATGATTATGTTTGGTAATAATGTTTTCATAAAAGTTGGTCTTTTGTATGAGGAAAGGAAGGTTGCAGAAAGAGATGTCATTGCGTGCATGAGAACAAGCTAGATATGTTTTCTTCTTCTTCTTTAACTGGATTTAGGATCTTGTGGTGGTCTTTGATCACAATGATTCTTTTCATCCAAGACAAGAAATATCTCCCACCAATTATTGGTACCCAAGGGTCCCATCTCCTTGAGCTTTTCCTCAAATTGTAAGTGTAATCCTTTGGAAATCTTAAACCCTAATGTTGCCTTTCCAAAGAGGACACCACAATACTTGTGATAAATCCCACACACAAAAAAAACAGCAAAAACATAATCATGTCAAGTCCAATATTTGCATCTTAAAAAAAATCCGTTTCAGTTCCCATTAGCCAATAAATTCTCCAACATAGTTCTACCTCCCAAAATTCATGAAAAAATGGCGAGACACCCATTTTACAGGCAGTGACCTCTAGTACAAAGATTGGGCGAAATGGCACATTGTTTCATCCTTATCCTTTCATTAAACATCTTGGATCTATATGGCCAATTGAAAGTGCATCTTATCAGGTTTTCGTGATGAATGGCAAGACAATTGATATGACTAAGAGTTCATCAAATTTATTTCAGTAAATTAGTCCCCATATGTGAGTGTGACTCCTACTTTTACATCTTCAGGTGGTTACTTGCTTCAAACTCCCAGGATGTAATTTATAGGTCTTTGGTGAATCCAAAGTTCACATCAATGTTAGTACAATTATACTATCAGAAGGGCACAAATAAAAGAACAATGGTTGAACTCCAAGATAAAATCCTCAACCAAAGTCCCTCGGAATTTTACTCCTTTTACTCCTGCCACTCAATCCTTTGTTTTTCCTAGCCTTGGTACCTTCGAGTAATTCTACCCAGTACTATTGAGGGTGTGTGCTCTGTCGAGTGAACCCTATTTTCTCCGAGTCAGAACTGCCAAGAAATTTCTCCAGTACCACCGAGCTATGTTTCCTTTGAGATCAACTCTGTTAGCTCTGGTACATCCGAGCATGACTTTTTCCCGGCACTTTCGAGCCCTTCTCAATTTGCTTCAGCCCTTTGAGTCCCATTATAGGTCCAGTACTCCCGAGCAAATCCATTCGGAACCTCCGAGCTGGGATCTAGCCTTTTCTGCACCGTTTCTCTTTGAGAACAACTCTGCCGACCCCGGTACTTCCAAGCATCTTCTATCTTCATAGAAAAGAGCCACCTTTCTGTTTGGTATCTCCAATCTTCTAATCCAGGTACTTCCAAGCATCTTCTATCTTCGTAGAAAAGAGCCTCCTTTGAACGTGCCCCATAGTTCTGGGTTTTTTTCCTCTGCTGGTTCCGGGCTAGTCTTTTACTAATCATCACTGTATTGGTTAGTACCCCCTCCGTAAAGAAATATAAGAGCATTTAGATCACTAAAGTATTGATCTAAACGTTCTTATATTTGTTTACAGAGGGAGTAATACTCGATAGGCATGTGTCAATTGGGCAAATATCAGTCTAAGGAGAGCCCTCAAATGATGATTATGCACACATTTTATTTTCTATGTAGCAATCCTAGAGGAAAATCAGTGACCAACATAACAAAATAAGATTGTATTCATACTCTGAGAAAGATTGTATTCACATTCGCCGTGAGAATTCAGTTGCTTCGAAGCAATTGTCGGCGAACCATATGTCCATCAGCAAAGCTTTCAGAGTAAAATATTCCAGAATTTACACAAAACACTCCATTTTAAGCTGGACGCAGTGTAAGTTTATGCAGTTAAATTCCCTGACTGGATCAGGAGTTACACACGCGAAGCTTATTATTTATACATCAGCCTCGAAGAAGATCGAACGATAGAGCAGCGAACCCGGGCTGAACCTCCATATGTGCTATACCGTGATCTGCCAACTCGAACGAAACCAAGTTGCAGCAGATGTCGGAATTTATGCGGCTGCCCTAGAGAAGTAGTAGAAGAAGCTTACATAGCGCACCATTCTCCGGTTAGCTACGCTCCTCTCCTGCAAATTGACAGGAGGGAACATTGGTTCCTCAACTCAAAAGAGTAGGCCAAATGTTGTCGGATTTTGCACAGTGTTGTACTAGTAACTTACAGTCTTGGTTGTGTTCTTACAAGAGATGGCTGCAGCGCGTCGTAGTGCCCATAACCGTCGTATAGAACACGGACCGGGTTGTCCTTGCCGTACTCCTGGCCATACTCTGCTATGATCCTGGGGTTATCGGTGCCCTTGGTGTACATGTGGACGGTGATGGGCATCCTGCAAGCAGTGTTGACATTCCTCGTAAGCAATTACATTTCAGAATATAAACCTACAAATTGATTACACATGTAAAGAAAGGTGCCTACCCAAGAACATGTGAGCACATGAGCAGCTCAGGTTCTCCTCCCCAGGCGTGAGGCTTCCTCATCTTCCGCACATAGCTCTCGAAATTGCCTTCGAGGAACCTATCCAAAGATTCACATCGAAAATGATCATGTTACTTTTGATTTTGCAGGAAAGAAAAGATCATGTTTAATTCACTGTTTTAAATTTTTTTGCAGGAAAGAAGACTTCACCATTCGGTATCTCCTCGTCGCTTGATGAACTCATCTGCAACCTGAAACAGGCCGACAGGTGGGTCAGCAATCTCTTTTGCTAAAATTGCAAGGAACGGAACGGAATCATCAAGTGCTGAACCGGTTGAGTGGTTACCTTTGCTCGAAGCTCGTCGGCGAGTTCCTTCTGGGCGCTGTCGCTCGGCGACTGCTTGCCTCTCCTTATGCAGGCGCCATAGGCGACGGACCGGAACAGGCACCTCCCGTCCCCTGTAATTCCTGAAAAATAGTCGAGTTTCCAATGTTCAGAAATGCGGATGGCCGACTCGATCAGTCTGAAAATCACATCAGAATCAACCGCTTGGAGAGTTTCACAGGAACAAACAGCCCCGTAAGCGTGATGCGCCGTACAAAGCACACATCCCAGGTGGGATCACTTTTTTCTTCATAAAGTACAGTTATATATTGATCTTCCTTGTTGAATTTATGTCAAAGGAGATGCATAGATATATAGATAGATAGATAGATAGATACCCAGTTATGCAAAGGCTGCTGCTTTAAAGTTTAAACTAGTCATACAGTGCATGGAGACGGCAAAATATGGAAGGCGAACAAGACCAGGGAGGCATCTTAACTAGTCGATTAGTTTAATAGCGATTCAAATCAACGCCTAAATCTGTTTTCTCCCGCTCTTTCCTCCCCTTTAGACCAGGCTCAAGATCGTACTGATCACAGATAAATCATGGCAACAAGAAGCAAAAGAAAAAACTCTGTTTCTGTCATGATCATCATCGAAACAATCCCCCTTTTCATGCACCAAGACGAGGAAGACGCAGCAAGCAAGACAGAGAAGCAGAGAAGCAGAGGACGTACGGATGGATCGCAGCGGCGGCGGGAGCTCCCGGTCCGACATCCGCCCTGCCGGCGGCGGCGACGGCGGCGGCGATGGGCCGGCCCTCTTCCTCCCCTTGCTCCTCTTCCACGGCAGGGAGGGGAAGCAAGCGGGCGGAAGGAATAACAAGCAAAGCAGGAAGGGAGAGCGAGACGGAGGCAGGAATGTTGCTACAGAAAGTGGCGGGTTGAGGGGGGGACGGGCGTGGAATCGGATTCGCTTTTCAGGCCGCCGGGGCTGGCCGGGTGGAGGCCCTCGCCGCCGCCGCGTCCCATCGAACCGACCGACGGCCGACGCCCCCCTCCCTCCCTCCCTCCCTCCCTCCCTCCGCGGCTGGCTTGGCTTCCCGCCACAAATAACCGGGGGCTCCTAATTAAATCAGATCCCCTCCGGAGCCAGCGGCGCCTTTCGGTGCTCCGCTCCGCTCCTCGAGAGCCGCTCGACCAGGTGAGGTGAAACCCGACGGATGATGCCAAAATTCGCGCGCCTGCCGCGCAATCATCCCGTGCGGAGAACGGGACAGCACGTGAGTGAAAATGAACCTCGCCCTTCCTCCGTGCTGTCGGACGCAAGCCGTGGTGGCCGGTCCTTTTTCCCTCTCACAGTCTCATGCATCCATTCATGTTGGCCCTTGCCATGTCAGTGTCGTTATCTTGGCGAGGCCTCTGCGTCCTTCCACGCAGAGGCAGCAGCCGATGATAATCAGTGACAGGACAAAAAGGAACCCACCCCACCTGGATGAGCAAGCAGCGGGATTACCGTGAGCAAGTAAATAAATCTCCTTGATGAGGAGTCGAGCCTCCCTGAAGAACGAAATTAGCTTCACAGGACCATGGAGCCCACATGTCAGTGAGCAGAGGACCGTCGTGTTGACAAAAGAGAACAAACGGTTGCTTGACTGAAAAGGAAGGGAAGAGAGGCATCATCTCGTAACAAGGCAGGCTATATATACATTGTACAGTGTCATGAGAAGGCGGCAAAGAGGGGGAAAATGCCCTACATCACCCCACCGAGCAGGGGGGGAAGAAGCAGTAGTCTCTTTCAACTTACTTAACCCAAACCCAAAGGAAGGAAGAAGCAGCCACGGCGCCAAAGCGGAAGACGACCCAAGGAAAAAAGGAACAAGAAAGAGGAGATGTACAGATCCTACTGATGATGATGAACCAGGCCCCAAAACCCTGCCTGCTAGAGGCTAGCACTGGTAGAGGGAGAAGCCCCGGTTCTTCCACAGCGAGCTCAGCGTCCGCCCCAGCTTCCTCGACTTGGACTTGCACAGCGGCTTCGACTCCCGGTGGCACACCATCACCCCGCCGCCGTTCCCGCCCTCCGGCGCGGCCTGCTGCGGCGGTGCCTGCTGCTGCGACGCGGCTTGCTGCCCCCCGCCGTCCCGTTGCCGCTGCTCCCGGAACAGCTTCAGCAGCTTCTGGGCCTTCTCCCGGCCCCGCCCCGTGCCGGTCGCCGAGATGGAGACCAGCGACGGCACCACGCCCTCCTGCAGCACCGGCGCGATGCACTTGTCGTCCGCCGCGCACATCGCCAGGAGGCACGACACCGCCTGCTCCTGCTCCGTCGGCTCCCCCGTGTCCAGCAGCATCGCCAGCGTGCTCACCAGCCCCGGGGTGGACATGATCTCCTTCCTGCCGGCCTGGGTCGCCGCCAGGCTGATGGCCACCGCCAGGGCCTTCTCCGTCCACCCGATGCCCTCGGACACCGAAGAGTCCGTCAGGAGCGTGTGGAGCGCGTCCACGATGCCGGCCGACAGGAGCGACGGGATGCTGGCCTGGTAGGTGGAGAGGTTGTACAGCGTGTAGAGAGCATCATGCTTGCAGGAGCTGGCTTTCGGGTCGCAGGCGTCGTGGTTGTACAGACGGTCCACTAGGAATGGCACAGCCTGGGTGGAAGCGATGACGCTCTTCGCGTCGGTGAGGCAGGAAAGGTTAAGGTAGAGCGCCGTGGCTGCAGCAGCTAGGCGTGGATTCGATGTCATCTGCTCAAGTAGTTCGACTATCCCAGCAGACAACAGAAGTCCCTTGTTTCTGAAATAAACAAGCATAGGGTTTGTAAGCAAAAACTGGAAATTCAGAAGTTCAAGGTCAACTAACTAGCTGCAAATGACAAGCACCATTTAACTGAAAAATACATGGCATACCTATTATTATTGACTGCAAGGTTAAAAAGAGCCATGGCACCAACTTCTTGTGCCTTCTCATTTCCTTCTTCCACAGAATACCTTAAGAACTGAACTAGGGCCTCAGCGAACCCATTTGAGCCCATCTGGATCCTTGCTTCCTCATCATCTTTCAGCAGATATCTTATCTGCTCAACCAATCTGCACTGGCTCAGTATGTTGTTTCTTTCATTAAGCACCAGCAGCAAGTTCCGATACCCCTCATTCATATCAAACTCAAAACAAGAGCTATCATCCAATGTGCCTGATTCGCTGTTCATCGGTTCTTCCTTTCTCTCGTTCTCCAGGGGAACCACCTTGACACCCTTGATGTTGCTAGTGTCAAAACTATCGACAGACACACAGCCCGTCGCCTGGGAGTCAGATAAAGCAAGCCTCCAATTTACATCAAAGGATCCCGGTGGACCATCTGGAACTGGAAAATCATTCTGCTCGCACCAGCTGGAAATCATGGCCTTAACACAGTAGTTTGGAGTCAAAGACAAGTGGGCCAGTTGTTGCTGAGTCTTGGGACATGTGCTGTGACCATCATTAAACCATTTTTCAATGCAAACACGCTCATAAGTCTGACCAGACGAAACAATAACCGGGTCATACATCAGCTGCAAGGAAATGGGACATCTGAGTTCCTCGGGAGGGATCGACATGTTTTCGGACCTTGGACCACTAGGCCTACAATTGAATGATCCAAGCCTCGAATTGAAAGACCCAAACCTCGAATTAAATGATTGAATGCTCGAAAGCTGTCTACTGAATGCTCGGCTGTTTCCGCAGGGGCCATACATGTCATCCATGCCTAATACTGTAGGTGAACATGGGGCTGATCCTTGAGAATCGGTATCATCGCCTGCTTCACTTCTGAAAAATTTCGAGTATTTCCTCATGAGATTGTATAGGTAGGACACAACAAACTCCTTCCGCTTATCATCTCCAGAACGAGCCTTTTCAATTAGCTTCTTGAGGGCTCTTCTCTCAGTCAATGCTGCCCTGGAAGAAGTAATTCCCAGCTTCAGAGCAGCCATATGAAAGACCTCAAGCTCCCCACTATCGCTGGAACTGTTCATTTTACTGTTTCTCTGGAGCAAATTGATCACCTCATCACCAGCTTCCTTCTCTGATTGATCCAATGTAAATACAACCTCCTCCAACTCACCAATGATCTCTACAATCTGTTGCGCACAGACAGGATCAGGATGTCAGGACATAGCACGCAAATTTACTAAATGGTTTAACCATAAAACAACTGGTGCATAATGTGGGATTTGTAGTCCAAGGAAACCAAACAGAAGCACAATTTAGTTGTGCTAATTAGGATTTTACACAACATACCTTATGGCCAATATCTTCGGTTACTATGCTTTCGACACGCCGAAGACTTTCCTGAAGTTGGCTTCTTGATTTCTCAAACTTCAAATGCACAGTTTCTGCGGTGATGGCCTGAAAGTGGATATTATCAGTGTAAGAGTTTCGCAGTTTAATTATTCTAAAGACACAAATATTGAAAAGCAATGCTGCAAATGCCCCATGGCAAGTTTGCAACTAATTATAATATCCAGAGTGCTCGGCAGGGAGGGGTACAACATCTTACCAAGTAGAGCCTGCTGCAATCTGCGCAATGTTGAAGAAGACCTTTGGATTTATCCAGAGCAACATGCAGCGAACACAGTGCCTGTATGCCAGACTTGCTTCTGGGCCTTGATGCTTCGATGAACGGGAAAATCGCTAAAAGTTTAGAAACCGCAGGATGAAATGCTCTGCACATTCCAGCATGTAACTGCAGAAAACACAATTTCTTCAGATTAGGCAGCCATACACAAATCCACCCAAAAAAGAGAAGATACAAGGTTCCAGTTATTTCTAATATGCTTTGCTTCCTATACAGTACAAAGCTTTAAATACCCATCCTGTAGAAATAAAACGGAATTAAGAGTGCTGCTAAAACAGTCACTAAGATGTAAGTTTACAAAGCAAATCCAAATAGATCTCATTAATCAACAAAAACAGTATATTCTAAACTCTTAACTGCAAATAATCTGCAGACCAATTAGCTTGAACAACAGATATTATCACTGAAAATCAAGATAAAACCACAGTTAAGATGGTACCTTGGCATCAATAGCCAAGAGAGGGCCCTCCTCGACCTCCATTGCGTCCATGCTTGACTATCTCGTCAGTTCCACCATCTAATTTGCAAGATTCAGAAGGGAAAAAAAAGTCAGATCGGCAGATCACATCACTCTCAGTTGCAAGCATTTCAGACCGGCGAAAACAACAGGCCTGGACTTGGGAGGATAGGACAAGGCAACGCTCCCGGAACCAGTACGAAAAGAGGGGATGGGAATAGTAAAAAATCTACCCGCTGCAAGCCCACAACACAGTGTTCTCCAGGAGGCACCTTTCGGAAAACCACCAAGCGAGCACGACCTTTTCCATGCTAAATTTGAGACGCGCGGAGCTCCCTGGAGCCCATGATTTTGACCAAGCTCGCCTCTTTCCCCAGCAAATCCAAGGGCCACGGGCGGGCGCTGCCAGCCAGCCAGCCAGCCAGCCAGCCAGCGCTGCAGCGCATTTCGCTCACCGCGTCTCCCCAAGAAAAACTCAAAAGAAAATTAAGATGAGGTCGGCAGCTCGCTCGAGCTTCTCTCGGCCTGACAAGTAGTGTGGGATTTAAAGCAGCTTCCTCCGGAGTGGGCAAGGCCGGCCACAGGATAAGGAGCGCTCTGAAACATCGTTTTCAGCCCCGCAAATCTGCCATTCGGGCTCGTTCCTCGGATGAAAATGCCAGAAATCCATCGGGAGGAGGCCTTTCTTCGCGTAAAACTAGCATGGTGGAACCGCACGAACACCGCAGGCTTCCTCCCCGGAGATCCCCAATGGCGGAGCTCGCCCAGAGAAAGAGGAGCAGAGAAGCACACGCGCGCGCAGAGAGGACGCACAAGCAGCCCAGAGCACCCCCAAGGTCACATCCCGCCCCACCAAAGCTTACTCTGAATCCTAATCTCCCGGACCGAACAGCGGGGAAAGGAGAGGCGAGGAACGATCCATGGCGGCAAGAGACGAGTCAGAACACGCACCGTCTCGAGCGAAGAGAGCGAGGCGGGAAATGCCTCGGGAGGGCCGCTACGGCG